AACAGTGAACAAAGTAACCGCCACATTTTCTGGAATAAACTTGACTTTTGTCAGCACTGATCCTGACACCCTCCATATACTCCGTGTTTGAAGGAGGGCTCCACCCAATGAGATAATTGCACAACAGCAAGTAAAATACTGAAAATCTTCTATCCTGTGGGCCTAAGCCCGACCCCACCCTCGTTTGGGGTTGGCCACACCCCCAACCGATTGAAAAGATTCTGGCGGGAAGCTTTCTTTGCACGGGCATGCCCAGTGTTAAGGAGAGGGGGAGGGGAACGAAGATCTCCTTACTTTTTCGGGTAATACAAGTAAAGTACTGACCGCGGGATCATGAGTACTGCACGGCATGATTTGGGTCACTCAACTGCCCGACAAACTCGTTTCTATCCTATCCCGCTGCTAGTGGGACCTCGCCCCCGGTGTGCTGTGTGTGTGCGCATGTGTGTATGTGTGTGCCTGCGTGTGAGATTGTCTGGGCATGAATATGTATGTATGCGCGTGTGTTTGCGTATGTGTGTGTTTGTAAGTGTAACTTGAGTGTCAATGCCGACTCTCCCTGATCACACCGACACTGTAACCGATGTCGCTCCTACTGTCTGGCGCCTTGCACCCAGTCTACTCTACTCGGCCTATCTACCTATCTACGTTCTTGCAACAGGATCACATGGAAGTCGAAGACCAATGTACGTGACGTCAACACCAATGCCGACCACCAGCATACACCAGGTACATTCTTTCTCTCTCTCTCCTCATCACCCCTTGTCTCTCTCCTCATGCGCCTCCTACCCGAAGACCACCTTCGCCATCACCTGCCTGCGCCCCTGCAGCCCAGCTATGGCTGCTGCGCGCCCGTTGCCTCAGCAGCGCCCCTCACCTCAGCGCCCATGCACGCGTCCGACCGGCAGCGCCCATGCGGACACTAGTGCAGCAACGCAGCAGCGTGTCCGCATTGCCTGCCAAGGCCAGAATGCCCTCCCAGGGGGCACACACTTTCCTTTATGGAAAGTGTCTGCTACTGGCTGGCCTGGGCTTGTGTGGGGGGGCCCAGTAGCTTGCCTCTGGCCCCGAGTGTCTCCACCCAGGCCCAGTTTCAGATACTGGCCTGGGCCTCGTGCAGTTCGGCACGTCCAGGCAGCCTCCCAGCCTCCAAGTGTTTGCAGCCTTCCCATCGGCTCGTGGCTCATGTGTGACGACAATGCTGCTTTCTCATTGGCTCTCGGCCAGTCCGTGATGTGTCGGCCGCACACAGCATGTCCCCAGGGCGCAACCAACTGAGCCCTGGGCTCAACTGTACAGCGCAGCCCTTTGCTTCTGGAAAGAGCCTAGAGGCCCACGTTGCTCTGTAACCAACTGGCGTGCTGCAATTGTCTCGGTACCTATGTATGGGAAAAAAAGTCCAAAACAGGCCTCATGGGGATATTCACCGCCTTCACTTAGGGCAGGAACTGGCTTGCTTGGGGCTACAGCCCATGACACTTGTATGTCTGATGAGGGCCCCACGAGGGCTCGTTCCTCACATGCACGCTGTTTTCTTTTTTTTTTCCATTTTTTTTTTGGCCCCACGAGGGCTCATTCCTCACATGCACGCTGTTTTTTTTTTTTCGGTTTTTTTTTTATTTATAAAAGAACTCCCGAACCACGGGTCAGATATGAAACTGATCGGAACAGATACTACACTTGATCATGATCTGGAGGGGGCGGGGGGCCGCGGGGGGGGTGTAGTTAGTTACTTCAGGGTGGCTCTCTCTCTCTCTCTCTCTCTCTCTCTCTCTCTCTCTCTCTCTCTCTCTCTCTCTCTCTCTCT